ATTAAATTTTTCATACTGAACTTAAGCTAAATACAAATTATGTGTTAGTAGGTTGATTCCTGAACTGTTACTTAATAATGTCACACAATTTCTTTAAAAGAACAAGATGAAATATGTTCAAGGTATTTGTCATGTAAATCCATGACTGACTCATGTCAATGGATGGCAAAAACCACTACAATATTGTAAAGTAATTAGCCTCCAACTAATAAAAATAAATGAAAAAAAATCAAGAGTCCAAGAATAGTGTCCAAATTTATTAGAAGAAAGGTTTGATGTATAGATATTATCAGTATAAAGCCAGAGAATTAATCAAATAATTATGTTGGGAGGAAAGTGAACGGAAATGTGACTTGAGTTAAATTTTAACATGCTGTTGGAAAGCTGATAAATCAAAACTAAAAATATTTGAAGCAGATGATCTATTTACATGGAAGTAAAATCAATTGGCAAAAACTTCGCTGGTGCAAAATCTGGCTAAAACAAGATGGCAGAAGGAAAATATTTACATATTATAAATCAATTTTGTTGTTTTGATCCTACGCATGTTTCTGTTACGGTAAATGTGAAAGCCGACTAAATACTACAATACAAAATGTGGACATTTATTTGTTATAAGGCTTATAAAATGTATTTAAAAGCAATATTTAAAACCATAAACCATAACAGACATTGATCTTTAGAGGGTGGAGCACTGTAGTTTGCTGCATGTAGACAGGTTCAAGCTACCAAAGACCTCTGTGATCCTGTGTAAATGATTTTGTAGCTAAGTTGAAAGAAACTCCACTAGCTCTTTCAACAGAGGAATGATAACTATAAATATATATATATATATATATACACACACACATATATATATATACATTTATAAGTATATAGCAAGTATTACAGCACTCCATGGTTCTCATTTGAGGAATGCTATTGGGTTAACTCATTATTAAAATAAAATGGAAATATACAAAAAGGAAGCAAATATTTATCCTGTCTTTAGTGCTTTATTATGGAATAGGGAAATTTTTCACTAGTGAAAGTTCTTATTTACAGAAAAATTTCAATGAACAAGTGAAGAATTATGGTAAGTTTGGAATATCATAATATTGTAGCCTTTAGTTAATTTAATCAGTTAGCCGATTTAATCCAAGCAATTTACATCCATTAGGTAGATATCAGACAGAAATTTTGTAATGAGCAGATGAATGACAGCACCTGAACACATTATTTCAAATGTCTAGAAAAAGAATTATGTCTCCTGATGGATTCTATGTGCTCATGTGCTCAGTTGTGGCCGACTCTGAGACCCCATGGACTGTAACCTGCCAGGCTTCTCTGACCATGGAACTTTCCAGGCAAGAGTACTGGAGTGGGTTGCCATTTCCTTCTCAGGAGTTACCAGGTTTTATGTATAAAATGTAACTATTATTATAGAATTCAAATATTCATTAAGGTGTTAAAAAAAAGAAATACCAGTTATAGGAAATATAAGGGTTAAAGAGGACAAGAAATGAAATTAGCAAATTTTAGAATACATGAATTCTAAACTTATACTGCAGGATATAACTTATACTGGAGGATATGAAACTTATAAATATTTTCCTAGAAAAAAAAATAGAATGACCTATAAAATACACGAAACTTGAATTATCAACCAAATGCAATATACAGAGCTTGTTTAGTTTCTGATTTTAACAATCTATTAACATACAAAAATGTTGAGATAATCAAACTAAAAGCTAAAATGATTTTTACAGTATAACAGGTTATTGCTAATTTTTATGGATATTGTCAACATATTAAAACAAATTGACTCTTAAAAAAAACTACTACACTATTTATAAATGAATGATGTCTAAGACTGACCCAAAAGAATACACTGACTTGGCTATGCAGCGCAGGAGGAGGAGGTGGGTGCGTAGGAAGGTCGTGGGAGAAGTGGGTGGGGGATAAATGAAACGATACTGCGCATGGCTTTATACTGTTGAAGTAAATGATGGATATCTAAGGGGTATGTATTTGTTTTTATGCTTTTGTATATACCTTTTTTCTATAATGTTTTTAAAAGAACACATTCACTGTGGAATTTAAACTACAGGGGATAATAACAAAGTAAAAAACCAACTATAATCCCATCATTTCAAATATTAAGCTTTGTTTTAAATTATTTTATGATAGCACATAAAAATAATTAATATAAATGTGAAAATGATTTAGAATTTTAATTGTCCCAGGAAATCACCATATCACATGATTTAAAGAGAACATGTAAAGCAAGTTAGAATTTTCAGAACTTTATTATTTCCTTGTTTGACCACTGTTGCTTTTAATCTCTGTAACATTGTATAATCTGAGCAACATTTAAAGGGATAATTAATATCCCTCATTAATTAATATTCTTTAATATTAAAAAATGAGACTTTTGATATTTTATGAGTGATTATCACACTAATACATTTATATAACTTATCACACTAAATTTTATAAGATAAATGGGAAATCAGGCACCTATTGCTAATATACAGAGGAAGTTTTCTGTGAATTACACTGAAAATTACCATGGTGATTTTCAAGAGTTACTTTCAAAACTCTAGGGAACTATAATTGTCTTTCCTTTGACCTAATTCTTTATTTCCGAAATTTTAGTTGAGCAGAGAATGTTGACTACATCTTGCAAGAATTACGGCATATGAGCCCAGTGATCAAGTCAGTACAATAGAGAAAATAAACTGTAAGGCTAATATGGTCAAGAATAAATGCATATTCCTGTTGAAAATTGTAACATTTTCAGAGCAGTGTCAAGGAAGTGCTTTTCTATTGAATTTTTTTGAACTCAGGGCAATTTAAAGTCAAATAGACAGATCCATAGAGGTTATCTGTTTCATCTTTTGAACCTTCTCAGAGAAGTCATTTTTCACTCTCAAGAATAATGCATTGTGATTAATGTCAGCTTTGTTGTCTTTCTTTCATAATTTTGTCCTCCATAAAAAGTTCTTATGATTTTAAAAATCTGGGCTACCTATTGTGTCAATTGCAGAGTTACCTTAGGAAGAAAACTTATGGTCAATTAGAAAATCATCATTTAGTTCCCCAAAAATAGTAGTACTGTGAAAATTACCTAGGAAAAAATTCACTGAGCTCAATAGAAATACAATTATCCTAGTAAGATTCAATTGGGTAATAAGAGCAATAATTAGTTTTTATGTAATAGATATATCTAAGAAATGACACTGAAAGCATCTCTATGGATTTTTAAAAATAACTTAATTTTCACAGCATGCTTTCTTTGTAAAGATATTAGATTTGAAAAGTTGTTTCTAGTTTCCTTTTGAATTGGAAGAATAGCATTCGCGAGAGTGTGAGGCTTTATGAATCAGAGACTTGAATATAAATTGTGACTTTGTACCTCTTTACTGCATTATGACAAGCCTCTTAGAAACTTGGTCAAACTGGAAAATTTTCCAGTTTTGTGTTTGTTTTGTACTGTTTTTTCAAGTCCTCTTTCCTTCTGTTCAGTTCAGTCACTCTGTTGTGTCTGATTCTTTGTGACCCTATGGACTGCAGCACACCATGTCTCCTTGTCCATCACCAACTCCTGGAGTTTACTCAAACTCATGTCCATCGAGTCAGACATTTCCCCACAGCCAGTCCCTCCCATCGGGAAGCTTCCACAAGCCTCTTCTCCATCTGCATCAGAGGGCAGACAGAATAAAAACCACAATCACAAAAATGAACCAAACTGATCACACGGCCCACAGCCTTGTCTAACTCAATGAAACTATGAGCAATGCCGTGTAGGGCCGGCCAAGACGGAAGGTCATGGTGGAGAGTTCTGACAAAACGTGGTCCGCGGAGAAGGGAATGGCAAACCACTTCAGTATTCTTGCCTTGAGAGGCCCATGAGCAGACTATGAAAAGATGCTTTGCTTAGACTGGGATCATTCCCACACAGGAGCAACCTAACCAGTGCTCTGCTGAGTCTCCCTGTCTCCTGGATCTTTCTGTGCATCTTTCTCCTCGCCAGTACTTCGTCCTATGAACTCTGTCTTTTTTGGGGTGTGAGGTGACATCTCATTGTGGTTTTGATTTGCATTTCCCTAGTTATTAGTGATGTTGAGCATATTTTCATGTACTTGTTGGTCATTTCTATATTTTCTTTAAGGAAATATCTTTTCTAGTCCTTTGCACATTTTTAAATCCGAGTTTGTTGTTTTTGTTTTCTTTCATTTTTCTGCTGTTGAGTTGTAGAAAATCTTTATACATACATTTATAATCTTTTGTCGGATCTGTAACTTGCAAATATGTTCTCATATCCTAAGGGATGACTGTTTATACTGCTGACTGTGTGCTTTGATGCACAGAAGTTGGTAATTTTGAAAAAGTCCCAGTTCTTGCTTGCTTGTTTTTGCTCATGTTTTGGAGTCATATATAAAAGTCTTCACTCAATGCAATGTCATTAAACTTTTACCCTAAAGATTTCTTCTAAGTGATATATAGATTCAGCTGTTACATTTAGGTCTTTGATCCATTTTGAGTAATTTTTGTAAATGGTATAAGGTAAGGATCCAACTTTGTGTATGTGGGGTCTGGGGGAGAGTATGAGAGTTCTTTGAAAAAGAGTGTGTTGATATTGTTGACCTAAAACAAATAGACTACCAGATATTTCTCAAGTAAATATGGGTTTAATTGGGGTCCACAGAAAATTTCAATTTGGGATCTGCAACCATTGTGAGCCACGTGCAAGACCTCAAGAGGAAAGGGAAGTTGGGAAGGCTGGAGTCAACTCAGCGTCCATGGCTTTTCACCGGCCGAGTCTCACCAGGAGAATAAAGCCCTCTTTCTTCTTCCTATCGAACTCTGCCATTGTCGCAGGCTTGTGGGGGTTCCCATCTCGTCTTTATTTGATTGAGCCTTCTGTTTATTGATTTCATAGTATAGAGCATCATCTATAAATGTCTGTTGTCAACTCTTACTATTGTTCTCATGATTCTATTTTAAATTAAATCCAGCACCCTTTGGAACTCTTCCTCTATTTGTCGAATTTCTAATTTTGAAAGACCTCCCAACAGGAGGAGTCAGAAGTCGAGTTTCCCAGCTCCTCCTGAAGCTGGAACACAGCAGTCAGATGAGCCATTGATGATTTGCTCTAGAGGTGAGCGCACAGCGGAGCTCCGTGTGACAGATTTTGGCATGGTGGAAGGACAGCTCACAGGTGTCTGACAGTCAGGGCTGCAGAGTTTCCAACGGCGGCGTTTCTTGCCCAGGTCAAAATGTGAACATCAGAGTTGATGTACGTTCTTGGCCACATAAGTCCTAAATCTGCCAATTGTCTTTGACGTATTCCATCTCTGCTCAATGAAGCCAGAGTGACATCTATGCCTTTCAAGTAAGAATGCAAACTGATTCAGGAAGGGAAAAGAAATTTTCAACCACCACCCAAAATCCCTCTTCACTACAAATTGGCGACAATTCATGAAAGAAAATCGGACCAAAAAAAAAAACCCCAAAAAAAACTTTCAAAGATATGACACTTTACATGCCTGTATGCATATACCCATACTACACACACACACACATACACACACACACACACCACAATGTGACCTTGGGAAATATAACTGGGTTTTAATCTTACATAATTCACAAACATCCCCCCACTAACTTTTGAGAATCCATTTTGTCATTCACCATGAAAGAAACTTCATTTATTTCATACATGTAACCACCCATAGAATATAAAGATGGCAGAGGAGAAGAAAAGTACACTTAGCTGATATAGTTGGGTTTAATATCTGGTAACATTATTGCAGAAATATTGAATCCTATTCATGAGCTAATAAGTATAGCATGTATCTGAACTTCATGGAAATTAGGTTAAAATCAGGATTCTTTCAGTTGTTTTGTTTTTTTCTCTTAAGATTGTTTAGTAGCATATTCTTTAACTGACATATGCTTGTGTTTTTTATAGCTTTTTTTCTTGTGCCTTTTATTTCTAATCTTAAATTCCATGCAAATGAAAAGCAAAAGAAAGCTGGAGTACCAATACTCGTATCAGACAAAATAGACTTAAAAAAAAAGACTGTTATAGGAGCAAAGAAGGACACTACATAATGATCAAGGGTTCATTTCAAGAAGCTAATATAATAATTATAAATATATATGTGGCCAACATAGGAGCACCTCAGTAGGTAAGGCAGATAACAACAAACATAAAGGGAAAAATCAGCAGTAACTTGATAGTAACAGGGAATTCTCATCCTCTTTCTTTCAGGCTGCAAGTGTCGCTGGGTGTGAGGTAAATCTCTTGTAGACAGCATATATATGGGCATTGTTTTTGTATCTACCCAGATGGGCTACGTCTTTTGGTTGGTGCATTTATTTATTTATTGGTTGGTGCATTTAATCCATATAGGTTTAAGCTAGTTATAGATATGTGTAATCCTATTAGGGCTTCCCTGGTGGCTGGATCTGCCTTCAATGCAGGAGACTCAGGTTTGATCCCCTGGAGAAGGGAATGGCAAACCACTCCAATGTTCTTGCCTGGAGAATTCTGTGGAAAGAAGCTACAGACCATGGGGTCACAAACAGTCAGACAGGATTGAATGAATAACCCTTTTACTTTCACTCTTTGATCCTATTAACACTTTCTTAATTGCTTTGGGTTTATTTATTATAGGTCTTTTTTCTTGTCTTGTGTTTCCTGCCTGGAGAATTTCTTTTAGTATTTATTGTAAAGTTGGTTTGTTGGCACTGAATTCTGACTTTTGCCTGTCTGGAAAGCTTTTAATTTCCCCATCACATCTGAATGCGAGTCTTGCTGGATAGACTATTCTTGGTTGTTAGACTTTAAAGATATCATGTCATTCCCTTCTGGCTTGTAGAGTTTCTGTTGAGAGATAAGCTGATAGCCTTATGGGCGTTCCCTTGTATATTATTTTCTGTCTTCCCTTGCTACGTTCAATGTCTTGCCTTTGACTTTTGACACCTTGATGATTTTGTGCCTCGGTGTGCCCCTCCTTGGGTTTGTCCTGCCTGGGACGCTCTGTGCTCCCTAGACTTGGTTGCCTCTTTCCCTTCCCATGTTAGAGAAGTTGTTAGCTATTATCACTTCATTTTCTCTGGCCCTTTATCTCTCTCTTCTCCTTCAGAGACCCCTAGAATGTGAATGATGGTGCATTTAATGGTGTCCCAGAGGTCTCTTAGGCTGTCTTCATTTCCTTTCATTCTTATCCTTCTATTCTATTTCAGGCAGTGATTTCCACCATTGTGGCTTCCAGGTCACTTATTTGTTCTTCTGCCTCCATTTTTCTGCTTTTGATTCCTTTTAGTCTATTTTTCATCTCTGTCTATATGTTCTTTTGTTCTTCTAGATCTTTTTGTAAACATTTCTAGCATCTTCTCCATCCTTTTTTCCCAGATCCTGGATCATCTTCACTATCATTATTCTGAATACGTTTTCTGGAGGTTACCTATCTTCACTTTATTGAGTTGTTTTTATGGGATTTTATCTTATTCCTTCATCTGGGAAATAATTGTCTACCTTTTCATTTTGACTAATTTTGTATGATTGTGTTTTTCATTCTGGTGACTGCAGGATTGTGGTCCCTCTTGCTGCTTCTGTGTGCCCTCAGGTGTATGAGGTTAAGAGGTTGGTGCAGACTTCTTAATGGGAGGCACTGGTGGTGGGAAAAACTGGGTCTTGGTCTGGTGGGCAGGGCTGGGCTCAGTAAAACCTTAATCCAATTGCCTGCTGATGGGTGGGGCTGCACTCTGTCCTTGTTAGTTGTATGGCCTGAGGTGACCCAAGTTGGAATCAAGATTGCCAGGAGAAGCACCAATAACCTCAGACACACAGATGACACCACTCCTACTGCGGAGCTAAAGAAACTAAAGAACTAAAACAGACTCGTTTTTAGAGAAATAAAATAACTTAAAAGGAACTAAAGAGCTTCTTGATGAAAGTGAAAGAGGAGAGTGAAAAAGTTGGCTTAAAGCTCAACATTCAGAAAACTGGGGCATCCGGTCCCATCACTTCATGGCAAATAGATGGGGAAACAATGGAAACAGTGACAGACTTTATCATTTTGGGCTCCAGTGTCACTGCAGATGGTGACTGCAATCATGAAATTAAAAGACACTTGCTCCTTGGAAGTAAAGCTATGATCAACCTAGACACCATATTAAAAAGCAGAGACATTACTTTGCCAACAAAGTTCCATCTTGTCAAAGATATGGTTTTTCCAGTAGTCATGTATGGATGTGAGAGTTGGACTATAAACAAAGCTGAGTGCTGAAGAATTGATGCTTTTGAACTATGGTGTTGGAGAAGATTCTTGAGAGTCCCTTGGACTGCAGGGAGGTCCAACCAGCACATCCTAAAGGAAATCAGTCCTGAATATTCATTGGAAGGACTGATGTTGAAACTGAAACTCCAATATTTTGGCCACCTGATGCAAAGAACTGACTCATTTGAAAAGACCCTGATGCTGGGAAATATTGAGGGCAGGAGGAGAAGGGGACAACAGAGGATGAGATGGTTGGATGGCATCACTGACTCAATGGAGATGAGTTTGGGTAAACTGTGGGAGTTGGTGATGGACAGGGAGGCCTGGCATGCTGCAGTCCATGGGGTCACAAAGAGTCGGACACAACTGAGTGACCGAACTGAACTGAAATACTTGGAACTAAATTGTTTTAACTTACTGCTGATATCCAGGGAAATTGCTAAGAAAATATGTCAAAAATGTTTTAAGGAAAGCTACATGGAAATTAAGGTGGTACATAAGGAAATATTTATTGTCAAAAAGGAAAGGCAGTAATGGGAATTAAGGGAAACAAAAAATCTGAGACATGGAAACAAGTAACAAAATTGCATATGCAATTCTTTCTTATGAATAATTAAAGTAAATGTAAATGATTTGAATATACCAATCAAAAGTAAAAGTTGAAAAGAATTGAACAAATACTTTAAATATATTTAAAACTTAAGTAAGTCAAAAGTAAATAATGGTAAAATATATCTATGCAAATACTAAGCAATATAGGACTACACATATTGCAGCAGACATTAAAGAAAAAAATGATACTAGAGGTATAGATTCTTTACCATCTGAGCCATAGTAGTGAATGTCTTCTACAATGATAAAACTATCTATCTATTAAAGCATAACAATTACCAACACATTCACCTAACAATATAGTCCAAAATATACGAAGCAAATATAGACATAGCTGAATAAAGAAACTGAAAATTAAATGTTATTTGGGTATTCCAAACTTAACTTTCAATAATGAAAAAAATCAGGTAGAAATAATACTCGTGAGGAAAAAGAAAACTCTAGGAGATAGTAAAGGACAGGGACGCTTGATGCGCTGCAATCTAAGGGGTCACAAACAATTAGGCACGACTTAGTAACTGAACAATAAGAAGAAAACTTAAACTATAAACCAACTGTATTGTTGTTATTTAGTGACTAAGTCATGTCCAACTCTTTACTGACTCCATGGACTGCAGCCTGCCAGGCTTCTGGCGTATGGAATTTTCCAGGCTAGAGTACTGAAGTAGGTCACCATTTCCTTCTCCAGGGATCTTCTTAACCCAGGGATCAAACTTGTGTCTCGTTTTCTGCTTTGGCAGGGGGCATTGTTTACTGCTGAGCCATAGGAAGGACACACCACATATAGCTGACAATTATCTACAGAACACTCTACCAACAACAGGAAACTATACTTTGTTTTCAAGTACACATAGAGCACTCTTCAGGATACACTATGTATTTGGCCATTAGACAGTCCTCAGTAAATTTAAAAGGACAGACTTCACAAAACATATATTTTCCCACTGCAATGGAACTGAATTAGAAATCAATAGCAGAAGGAAATTTGTGAAATTTGCAGGAAAATTTGGGAAATTTAAAATTATGTGAAAATTAAACAACACATACCTAAATAACAGAAATATCAAGAATAAATAAGGGGAAAAATGAAAACATACTTAGAGGTGAATTATAATTTACATACAATATACCAAAACAGATGGAATGCACCTAAATAGTGCTTATGGGGGAATCTATAACTGCTAACAAATAGGAAAGAAAAGATCTAAAAAAACTCCAAAACTTATTTTCCATCTTAAGAAACTAGGGAAAATAT